GCCCAGGTCACGCCTCCGCACTGTACACCTCCCCCGGCCGAGTGGCGCACGGGACCGTCGATCGAGCCCGGCGCCTCCTGCCTTCAGGTGCTGACCAAGCAGCGGCTGCACGAGCTCGTCAAGGAAGTGGACCCGAACGAGCAGCTGGACGAGGAGGTGGAGGAGCTGCTGCTCCAGCTGGCCGATGACTTCATCGAGAGCACGGTCAGCACGGCCTGCCAGCTGGCCAAGCACCGCCGGGCCGCCACTGTCGACGTGAAAGACGTCCAGCTCTATCTCGGTACGTCCCGGGGGGCGTGCTGCCGGCGGTCGGGGGCGGGGTGCCGCTTGCGACGTGAAAGACGTCCAGCTCTATCTCGGTACGTCCCGGGGGACGTGCTGCCGGCGGTCGGGGGGCGGGGTGCCGCCTGCGACGTCTGCTCGCGATGGCTGGGGTGGTGTGACTAGACCTGGCATGTAGGAGTACACACGACCAGCTAGCTGAAACGTTTCCGCCGCGGTTTGTTGCATGACGCGACGGGGTCATTGTTTGATTTGGCACTGGGCGTGTGTGCTTGGGCACGCTTGCGTATTTGGGTAATGCAGACCAGGGGAGCGGCAGCGGCCTCGCGCTGTTCGTGATGTTTTAATGACCCTGACATGCAGTCTTAAGGCGTATGGCCGCCGGAGCTCGGTGGATGTGTTATGATCTGCGACCCCCCCCCCCCCCCCTCCCTCCGTCGAGAGCGGTCGTGTCCACCGCCGGCTCACGGGCGCCTGCCTGCCCCGCTTGCAGAGCGCAAGTGGAACATGTGGATCCCGGGCTTCGGCACCGAGGAGATCCGGCCGTACAAGCGGAGCGGCCACCACCGAGGCGCCATAAGCAGCGCATGGCCATCATCCGCAAGGCGCTGAAGAAGTACTCTGACGGCCTCCAGACGCGGGACGGGCAGGTTGTGCTGTGCGTGGGGGCGGGGCGGGGCGAGACGGCCGGCACGGGCGCCGGCTGTCCGTCCGGGGACACCGTGCCAGTGAGCACTATTGTATTTTTTGTATCGAGATCAGCGCTGACCAATAAATGCAATTCGCGCGCGACTCCTCGCCTGGTGGGCCGTGTGTGGTTGGCGCGTGCCGCCGTCCGGCAGATGTGTCGGGCTCGCTGGTGAGATGCGCGGAGGCAGCGTCATAAACAAGTCTCAAAGGAAAAGAGTCGTCCAATACGGACTTTCAGGTTATATCGACACGATCAAAGCATGAGCACCCAAAGCAGCACCTCTTGTCAGACGGGAACGTCTAAAACTGGCCACGGACATGCCACAAGAAAGCGACAAATTTCAATTGGTTCATCGCGCACCACTACGATGATTATGCCTGGTGCGAAGACGCAGAACGGACAACATCCAGTGTTCACAAAGGGGAAGACATGGCAGTGGTAAACGCGACTATGGCTCCCGCTATACTTGGTACACCAATCGTAGTTCTCACGAACATCACTGACCATGCAAATAATTTTCATCCAGCCAGAACAGACCGGGACATAGTTCAGCCATGTCCTCGGACATTAGATAGTAACGAGCAAATTCCAGCCGCAATCGTAACCGCAATGGAAGCCGAATGTTAAAACCAGCGACGTAACAAGGCGGCTTTGAATACTAGGGTCTAACCGCGCACATGGCCTAAACGATTGCACGTTACGTAACAACATGTAACGACCCGCGATTGCAACGTAGATATTTGCATAAGATATTATAACATCCAAAGTAACAGCACAGGCAAGCACCATTTCATTTCGCTCTCAAAACACATCAAAATTGCTCACAGATCTGAGTAATGGTCAGGAAGCATCAAACCGCTTCTGCGGCATTGCTGGAGACAAGCTGGTCTTTCCGACACGATCCAAACGTCCCGCTTCCGGTAGGCAATTGTAACAAATCAACAACAGCGCGCTGACCCACAACGGGATCTTCCTGTAACAGCGTCCTCCAATCGTTCACGTTCGTGCTATTGGCAGCGCAGCGGGACCTTTCAGTGTCATCATTGAGCTTGTTGCTGACTATGTAGATACCCGTCCACAGTGCGTGAGGTAACCGACAAACGCCCCCTGATTATTGCTGGTCTAGGCACGACGTTCACAGTGGTCATGACATACCAGGCGTACAAGTCACCTGCGGTCATAAATTCAAACCCCCGGCCACTGCAGGGCTCACTTTCTAACAAGGTATGGTAGGGTTGTAATAAGATCACACCATACAACTATACTCCGGCTAATTGGTCCCGTCCTAACTCTGGTCCTTGCGCGAATAACAGCCCTATGGACTCCCACTAACCTCCCATCTACATTCTGCCTTGCTTCCCCGTCGTCTACCCGCAGTTATGTCCTATGCCCTGCTTCCGGTTTTGTCCCTGCGCTGTCCCATACGCTACTCCAGATTACACACCCCATGCAGCTCACAGAGCCGCGTATCTGCGGCCTACTGGCGGTCATTCTGCCGTCCAATGGCCTCCCAGCGAGCGTACAGGCGCTCCTGCGGCTCCTCCCAGATGCGTCTGAAGGCAGTCCAGCCGTTGACGGCCGTGGTCATGACGTACTCGTTGGCCGGATTCTGGTGGAAGGCGTAAGCGCCCATCACCAGCGACTGGGCGAACCGTGCGCAGATGCACGTCTGCCGACCGGGGAACACAGGTCACAATCACCACCCAGCTGGGTCACGGTGTCGGGTGCACCGGAAGTGGATACGGAATCACGATCACAGCCGGCTTGCGTCACAGTATTGGTGTCACCTCCCCCTCTTTCTTTTTCTCTCGCTCTCGCTCTCGCTCTCGCTCTCGCTCTCGCTCTCGCTCTCGCTCTCGCTCTCGCTCTCGCTCTCGCTCTCGCTCTCGCTCTCTCGCTCTCGCTCTCGCTCTCGCTCTCGCTCTCCGCTCTCGCTCTCGCTCTCGCTCTCGCTCTCGCTCTCGTCTCGCTCTCGCTCTCGCTCTCGCTCTCGCTCTCGCTCTCGCTCTCGCTCTCGCTCTCGCTCTCGCTCTCCTCTCGCTCTCGCTCTCGCTCTCCTTCGCTCTCGCTCTCGCTCTCGCTCTCGCCTCGCTCTCGCTCTCGCTCTCGCTCTCGCTCTCGCTCTCGCTCTCGCTCTCGCTCTCGCTCTCTCGCTCTCGCTCTCGCTCTCGCTCTCGCTCTCGCTCTCGCTCTCGCTCTCGCTCTCGCTCTCGCTCTCGCTCTCGCTCTCGCTCTCTCTCTCTCTCTCTCTCTCTCTCTCTCTCTCTCTCTCTCTCTCTCTCTCTCTCTCTCCTCTCTCTCCTCTCTCTCTCTCCCCTCCCTCCCCTCCCTCCCTCCCTCCCTCCCTCTCCTTTCCTCCTCACTTTTCCCTATCTCACTCTTCACCACTAACCTTGAGCAGGCCCATCTCAAGCGCAGTGGGGGTCCGGTGGCGCCGGTAGCCGGCCAGCGCGTGCCCGCCCACGTCCAGCCGGTCGACCTCGGAGCAGTCGATCATCAGGTACATGACGATCAGCGCCAGCTCGAACACCAGCGCCGAGCGGTGGCTGTCGCCCATGTCGATAATCCCGCAGATGTGGCGCCGCCCGGCGGCGTCCGCCGACACCAGCAGGTTCTGTTCGTTCAGGTCGCCGTGCAGCATACCTGCCGACGGCGGCCGTGCGGGGAGACTGACGTCGGCGGGCGGACCGATCACCCGCAGACGGGAGCAGCATGTACGCTGCACACGAGACTGACCGGGCGCAGATGGTGACTGAGACCCACGGCCGAGGGCGGAGGAGAATCGGGGCGGTCAGCGATAGAAGTTCGTCACCGAAGACTCGCAACAAACATCAACAGTATGCTTTAAAAATACTCCTAAAAACAAACAGTTGGAGAGACTCAGTTTTCACCCTACGTTCGAAGGCATGCGACATACGTACACCACACGCCGACCCCGTCACCGAAGAAACCGTACGCTTCGCACGCGGAAGTCGTATGAGGACCGCGTCCATCTCTTCAGCGGACACCCTACGGCGGCGAGTGCTCACCCTGCGGCAGGCGGTCCATCTGCGGCAGCACCCGGCGGCAGAACTGCTCCACCGCCTGCTCGGCCATGGCGCGCCGGGCCGGATCGGCCACCACCCACGTGAACTCGGCCACGCGCGGCACCGACGTCATGAACCAGACCGAGTCCAGTGCGTCGTACGCCGGGTGGTGGAAGTCCTGCGACCAAGCACGGACGTAGTGCGGTCGGCAGGGTGGGGTTGATGTGACGGGCAGGGTCGGTCGCCGCGCTCGCTGTCACGTTCGTACCCAGTGCGAATCCAAACGGTTTGAGGTCTGCGATGTGGTCTTCATGAAGTCATGCACCAGTCTTACCAATAACGCATTGGATATTTGGACAGTGCACGCAGCACTTGCGGTGCGCACCCAAGGAATTCCATAGCACTTAAGCATACAGACACCTCGGTCTCCCTGCCCTTCCACACGACATGACCACATGTATTCGGCGTAGAGCACCAGGTGAGATGGTGCCTCTCCTCGGGTGACCCCATCCCTGACAACAGGCCCCGGTCACCAACAGGGCGCCGCTCGCAGCCGAACGGCCCGGCACGCGGCGCCTCACCTGGAGGCAGTTGCCGATGCGGGCGGCCGTCTCGCCGGCCTCGAACATGAGCGTGGGCGTGTACGTCACCGAGTGCAGCACCTCACCAGGAACGTAGGTCAGCAGGCGCACCACGTGCTCCGCCGCCGGCTCGGAGTCTGTGTGACGCCAGATCGGGAGGGTGGACTACAGCACTGATAATGCCTCGGGGTCTGTGTGATGGCAGGTGGGAGAGTGGACCATGATACCGTGAGTAGCGGGAGCCATAGCATTCCGTGCGAACCCACAAGCATTACTCAAACATCGCCATCTCTTAAGCCACTGTTGCAAATTTAAAAACAAAATGCACGCAATCAATTCGAGATATTTAAGAAGTTGGCTGACTGAAAACAGATCATACATCTTTATTAGAAGCGTAGAGCGACCCAGAGTTCCCAACAGCCGAAAAGCTGATCACGCGCAGCACAATGCCAGCAAGGTTTGAGATGACTCAAGCGACACCGACTAGACATCAGAAGCGCAACCCGCCGGCCCAGCCGGGCCGCGTGAGGAGGCGCCGCGGGCTCCGGCGGAGGGGCGGCAGCGGTGCCGCGCTGGCCCACTCACCATCGGCGGGCCGCCAGCCCGGGCCCGGCCTCTTCCTCAGCCGCTGCAGGGACCACTCAGAGTCGGCCAGCGTACGCACCGGGTACGGCACGCTGCCGGGTCGGGGCGGGTCAGGCAGCGGCCGGGGCCAGCCGGTCCACAGGGACACACTGAGCGGCGCTGGCGCCAGCGGGGCACGCCGCTGCCAGGCACGAATAAGCACAACCGAGCAAGCTACACAAAAGACGCGAAGAGAACAGAGACAGCGCCTGGCGCTGGTGATTAGCGAGCGGGGGGAGGCTGGATGGGTGGAAAGTATTTTAAATGTTTTCTTTCCATGCAGCGATATGAGCGTAATTCTGAACTTCACGACTGCTGGTGGCGCGTCTCCCCTACCCCGTGGCACCAGTCCCGACAAGAGGCATATAACGAAAAAAACAACAAGCAAACCAAGAGAAGACCGACTGAGGAGCAAAAAATCACCAACCGGATGCAAAACTAATCAAACTCTTACACCTGACCCCAGCTACTTATCTAGAGCCGACGTCCGAGACGGCGTACCTGAAGCCACCATCCTTCAGCTTCCACATGAGCTGGTTGTGGGCCTCCACGATATCCGGCTGCCGCGACTGGACGGAGTTCAGGATCTTCAGCGTGTACCCATCGGGGCACACGGACGCGATGTAAGGGTTGGTGAATGCCGGGGCAACCTATAAAGGCAACTTGTCATAAAAGGACAACCAAACACACATTTCGGCGGCCAAAATGACAGCGTAATACACAAAATCACAAAGATACGATACACGCAGCTCACGAGGAGAAACCACGTGAACTCCATGCCTATCACGCGCCGTGGACATACCTTGACATGGAAATTGAGATCGTCGTAGGCATTAAGTGTTTTCACGCTGGTAACCTGGAGCCCGTAGACGTGTGCTACCAAGTCAGGCACGGCCGCCTTGTCCAGGACGGGCCTGGACGTCTGGTCCACCACGTCAGCCTCTGCGCCGTCATAAAGGGACGTCAACTTCAGCTCACAGGATTTACGTGCTAAGCGACGCGAATGACATTGACATCCTGGCCAAAGCTCAAGAGAAATCATTTGCATGGGTTGTGGCAGGCTTCCCACATGGGTCAGACACTGAGCCTCACCCCTAATCATCTCATGCAGCCCTCCAGTCACAGGTCGTGGGATATTTTGAGCAATCAAAAGCATAGCCTGTACATCAGGAGGGTGGTAATGTGCATGTCTGTCTGACACCAGCCAATGACACTTCAACCAATCCTACATGTTTTGGGGCTTTGGATGACAGAAACTATCAACAGAGCAGCAGTGTTCAGGACAGGCTGGAGATTAGGAGATTTGTCCTCCTTGCCAAACACTGCACATGCAGAGTACTGGTCAGCTTCAGTGGCGGCCAGCTGTGTCAGTGCTTGGTATGGTCTGTGCTTGTATGCAGACCTCAGCTGTTGGTGGACACCACCCTGCTATCTTGTTTTCCTTATTCTGATCCCATTCTCACTCACCTTGTTTTCCATCCCCACTGCAGTCCCCCATTTCCTGAAAAGAGGTGAATCTTTTCAGCCTTACATTCTTGTGCAAGCACTCTGAGCACTTCCAAGATAACCACGACATTGAATAATGGAGATTGTCGTCACAAGCTGGTGAATTGTTTGATACCTTATAGAGGGAGGAGGCTGGCTTAAATTCTAGTTGCCTCAAGGCCTAGGAATACCAGTAAGGTTAGCAAAGTCATGGATGCTCAACAGAACAGTACACAATATTGTCTGCCATATTCCCCTTATAGTGAAAACACACACTGGCATCTAAACAGATATGGTCAGGCTGATCCCATGGTCAGACAATGTTTGCCAATGAGTGGAACCAAAAAAGGTTTGAAGTGAATGCTCTTTGTGTCAATAAGAAACATTATTTCCATTTTCTGCCCTTATTGCTATGCATCAAGAGCTGAATGCCAAAAAGGTGATAAAAAGATTGAATCATGAGCCTTCCACACAATATTCATATCTCATGATACAAAATGCCAAATTGAACAAAGCTGATAGGTGACCTTTCCTCCCACCTTAAAACTAGGCAAAGTTCATAGGCATATATAGCAGCTTGCAAAAAAATACATCCCTTATGCCAGATGCCTATGCAAAATTGGTGCAGTTTACATTTGAAACATCAGAATTCCATAACACATCCACTCTCCATGCACTGAAATTGGTGCAGACAGGCAACAAACTAAGTATTCAGGCTTTTCATGTACAGGCTCTGGAATAGTTGCTGCTCTGCCAGAAAAGTTCAGCACATAGCTCTTTGCAATTTAGCTGAGGCATATCTAGCTCCTACAATAAACTTTAATTGCAGCCATTCTCAGCATGGCTGACACTTCTAACCTGTTCGTAACTGTCTTAAGCTCAGCAACCTAAGGTTTTTTACCCCCCTTTTAGCATACAAGAAGGCCAGGGATAGCTTCTCTTATGGTCAGAGTCCTGGCCCCTGCCACCTTGGAAGATGAGGTGGATAAATCTACTAAGCAATCCAACCTAACATCATTTTTGTCTGCTCTTAAGTCAGTGGCAGGTCGTTTATACCACACAATTTAGTTGAAATTAGGTATCTCTACGAATCCGTTGATCAGACACTGGGATCCAAGGGCAAGAGAAGAGCGCTACAGCAGATTCTACACACATCTATGTCCCCAGAACCTCCACAGCGGTTGAGATAACGTATCCGTGAGAACCAATCCTACCTAGACCACTTTAATAACCCAATGGACATTTCAGCGTACCTATCTCCAAATACGCGAAAATATTACCCCCTGTCTATCCCCAACAAGACGCGCGTTGTTTACTTTTTCGGTTCTCCGGCATGACCCTGAGCTTTTCCAAAATTTTCATTCAGCATCTCTTCACTTTTCTTTACGGTCTCTGAGGAGAATGATAGATAATTGGCAATACATATTCAGCTAACATTTTTCCGTATACTGGATGTCTGATTTTACTTTCGGAAGAGTGGGAAAGGACGAGCAAGCATACTATTTTGTGTCATTAATGCCCTCCTAGGCGATTAAAAATCAAGCGGAGCGATTACGAAAAATCCTTGTATTTGGAAGCTTTACTAGCTTACACTTATACTGGGCGGGCATATTCACTGATCGTACTCAAAACTTCGGGTTATTGTGGTGTGATTGCGCGCTAGCGGTATTTTCTTCTTAGCATATTTGTCTACTAGTTCCACATGAAGGTGTTTCTGGTCAGTGTTCTTATACATAATAGCGTCTAACATCTTTGTGTATGACAGGATCTGGACGTAGTGCGTGGCAAACGAGTGATTTAATGTATTAACTGTGTTCGTTGTGCGCAGGTTTTGTATCATTTCTGTTAGCTCATTCTCATGAGCTATCCCCAAACCGTCAATCGAATTATGCACGCGGTAGGGTGCTGTGGAATATTTTATATGTAAAGCATAAGGGAGATCAGGGTATTTGAAGCATTCTATTGTGAGTCAGTGGCATTGGGCTAGGCATTTTTGTCTTCTGTAAAACATTGATCAAGAAGTTTTGTGTTCCTAGCACATGCAGAAAGGATGTTTTGTGTGCAGTATGAAACCACCGCCCAATCAGTTTGAATGTAGGCAATCCATTCCTGAACTGGATCTGCAGCATGCATTAAACACTTCATAATGTAGCCAGTGTTTGAAGATTAGTTACATGTGTGTAGATGTAAAGAGAGGTGTGAGTTTAACAAGAAGTGAAAGCTCATCCAGGTTTCATTATTCTTGCCAGATCATATAGATGAATAACTACAATGTGACTATGCTATCACATACTATATATCATATCATATATCATAACTAAAACTTCTGGTTCAAAATATTGAACCCAAATTTTTGAGGCCATAGTTGCTCAGACTTTTGAAAAATTGTACTTAGTTTGTATCCTGAAAACTGTAATGGTGCTGAACAATAATGCCATCTGGGCAGGCTCCTGTTAAACTGTGTCCTGTAATGATCTGTCCATCCTGTGTTATTTCTGTAAATTGCAAGATTCTTCTGAGTAATATTAACCCAGTAAAAATGAGAGGAAAATTTGCTCTGGCAATCCCTAGGCCATTCTTTGTTTTAGCACTGATAATCCATGCATAATTATATACCTATCAAAGTTGAACTTTTATTCTTCATGTTTCATCCCAATCACTATTCACTCTTCACTCATAACTGCTGAAGCAGGTAGTAATAAGTTTAAGCCATAATCATGGGTAACATAATCAAGTTGTCTAAAAACCTAGAATCTCTGCCATTTGGCCAATTTTATTTGCTGTTTGCAAGCATGGTACATGGCAAAAGTCCAAGACCTGAGCTCTGTGATAACCCACTAAGGTCATCTTGCCACACAGATGTTGAGCTATTTGATGTAGTCTTTGTGGCCATCACAAAGCCACAATTCCATCCATGTTATTAAACTACCAGAAGTATCATAAGATTTAAGTTAAATTAGCATGTTTTGTGAGCAACAATGTCCCCTTACTGAAATCAAGGCTTCCTGTATCATAAGCTTGGTTTCCATAATCATATTGCTTGTGTTGTTTGACAAATCATCAGTCATCCATATAATTATGCTCTTTTTCATGATGTGTGCTATTAAGGATCTTTAATTCCTCTGCTATTGCATAGTGGATCTGCTTGAATGCTAGTTAAAGGGGATATAATGGCAAAGTGGCTAGCACTTTTGGCTACCACTTGTGGATGCTGAGGTATTGTTGTGATGCTAAGATACTTTTTTATGATAGTGTACCATTACAGATCCTTAATTCCTCTGTTATTGCATAGTGGTTCTGCTTGAATGGCAGTTACAGGGGACATAATAGCAAATTGGCTGGTACTTTTGGCTACCACTTTTGGATGCTGAGGTTTGATACGTGGCTGTGTCTTCTCCCCCAAGCACAAACATAATATGGTCATGTTACTGGTGCTCCATAAGTTGGTACATGATGTGTGTCACAATTCTTTTGAAAGAATGCAGATAGAATAAAACTGTGCTAAGCAATTGAAGATGAAGGCAGGATTGCAGGCCTGCTGCTGCTGAAATGCAATACCTACTTATATGTGTTGCAACATGGGTCAAGGAAATAACTTATATTTATGAACTCCATTGAACAAGTTAGCACAAATAATCTGTCAATATATTTTTACGTACAAACCACATAAGAACATACTATAAAACATTGTCAATTACTATTGACGGGAGGCATTGTACATTATATTTACAAGAGTACATGTATGATTCAATTTCTTCCATGAGTAGTTTTCTGAACTTTTCGAGTTATTTAGTCAGAATTGCATATATATATATATATATATATATATATATATATATATATATATATATAAGCATGCACACACATATTATTAGGGGTTAAATAGCATTTTGACCATGCGTGATCAAAGTTGTAGGTATATCAGACCAGATCACAATCCTAAGGAAGGTTTTGCTTAAGCTGCTGCTGTTTATCACCAAGGGTTTGTGGGTGATGTTTTTTGTGTATACTGATAATCTCTTATATGGTTTTCAATAGCAAACAAGTCATGATTCTTGTTGATGCATGTTGTAACTCATATGCCATAATCTGAGCCTCATGTTTGGTATGGTTATCATTGACAACAACCTGATATTCCCTTGTGTTCAGTATTATGCATAGTTCTCTGAGTACCATGTTTTAACTCCTCTTTCCCCTGTTGCATAGCTGTTGCTCTATTTGTGTATGCTTATTTCGGTTTACTTATTTAGTCATAGCTCTTCTGCTATTGCACATGTTGATAATACCCTGATGTGTTCAATAATAACAGTAACAAAATATTTCCATATATATTTCCACCCCCTTTGACCGCAACAATCAAGTGATGGGGATGGGGATACATGAAGGTTTTGACAAATGTAAGATTTATGGCTTGTGTCAGTTATGTTATTTAATATTCAGTCATACACCCTGAATATTCTATGATTCCAGATTCCTTCCTACTGAACTGGTTCTTCAGTAACCTACATGGCTGCTGTCAACAACGGATCAGGTATGCTGGCATGGAATCTCAGTGATATTCCTGCAGATCTATGCCACTAGTAGAGTTGTTATAATGCATGCACATAATGTAGCTAAACTAAGCTGGATGGTCAGATTGAACTTGGTTTGGTTATGTAGTCAGCTGTACACTGCCTGATTTAATAAACATTTGGGTATTCTCTGCATTATTTAATTGGCTTGCAAATCATTCAGCAGTGCACATGTTTGGATGATGAGTTGATGGAGTGGTCTTTGCAGGTGGCGCCATCAAGCGACGAGCAGGCTCATCCATGGGGTAAGTGAGCACTGGACAGCATTGGAGAGGGCGCTACTGGTGGCTAACCTTTTGGGCCTACCAGTAATGTACTTTTTCTCTCATTACAAGTTGCTTGGGTCACACATATGTGTTGTTGGGCTAGAAAATGACTTGCAGGCTGATCCATGGGGTGATTGTGCAGTGGGTAATGTTGTAGAGGGCGCTACCAGTGGGTAACC